AACAATATTATCATCAATTCAATACTTCACTTCTATATGAGCGATTCTAATAAATTAATTCTCGTAAGAGAGCTGTTACCTGGGGCATAGAATCGGCACTAGAAGAGAATCATCAACTCTCTTGACATAAGTCGTAGGAATTGGCTGCCACTTCAAATTCTCATTCCAAATCTGTGAATCGCTTGGAGGGTACAATCCAGCTAGGACTAATTGCAAAGACGTTTTCGTTCTGTCATAATCAGTACTGCGAGCTACTAAATATTTTGGATCATAGTCTCCGAGGAAGTTGTAGTAGAGAGTGCGTAAACGTTGGCCTAGTTTATAAACTCGTCGCTTACCTTCCTACAGAAATTTTATGAAATTAAAAATTGTCAGATTATTTTTAATATTAAATTCTTCTTCTGCTTCAATAAAATCTTATCACATTTGGAATGACATTGAAATTAGCAGACACTTGAAAATTTTTATTGAAAAATAAACAAGACCTAGAAAATTATTTTTCAAAAATTTCATTTATAATTTCTAAAGCTTCTATGGAAAATTTTAAATAAATTTTTTTTTACTATAATATATTTGTTAAAAAATTTCTAAAAATTATAAGATGTCTTAATTTCAGCATCATTATTCGGAAGAATAATCATTATATATCAAGAAATCTTACTCTGGTTAATTGGCCGTAACCGTCTTGAGAAAAGTCATAACTTTTGTATGGATCATTTGGATACATCTCGGTATTATCAGGTGTTCTGTCTCCATGACGAAAGACCTTAAAAAAAATTATTGTTATTAATTATATAATTTAGACCGCTATAAAAATTAATATTTACTTACGACGGTAACATGTTTATACTTTAAAGATGATTCTGGAATGGCCGAATTTATGTATGAATTAAGATTAAAAAATAAAAAAACAAACAGATTAATTTTCATTATTTTTATGTAAGTCATAATAACTTAATTATTTTTAATTAATTGAAGATATATAAATTTATAACTTTTAAAATACCAGTGTAAAATACAAGACTAGTTTTTATATTATATAATAAATAAAATTCAGAATCTCAGTAAAAAGAAATTCTTATGAACACTCTTATCTTCAAGCGAAAGATTAAAACTAAACGTAAGTATGCGCAACTGAGTTCTTATACAGTATTAAGTGAGGAGCTGCTGAGTCATTGAAACTATTCCCTTATATCAGTTTTGGTTCTTATATTTTGAAAATTAAAATAAGAATTAATTATAATGTGTATTTTTTAACTATTTTCAGTAGTTTATAACAATCTCAGAATCATTTGGAAGACTTTTTTTGTCGCACTTAGCTTCTTCATCTGAAGGTATGAATTTTCTCATTAACTTTATGAAGCTATTGAAGGGACAAATAATTTCGCATCCTGGTACTTTCAAATCGACCACCGATGATGGAATCCCAAGATAATGGCGTACCTAAAACAATAAATATATATAAAAATAAAGAATGAGTAAAAGTGAATTATTTCATTATAACATACCCTGACAAAGTAACTATTATTTTTATCCAGTAGTTCAACATTAACACTGCTTGAAAATCGAGGCACATGGGCACTGTAATCACTAAAGATCGCAAGAAGAGAAGCTACATTTGCATCATGACCACTGAAAATTGTCATTTTCTGATGGGTCTTTAATTTTCCATCAACTATAGCCTTCATTGTGTTTGTGATATTTCGAAGAACCATACCTGTAGGCAATTATAAATATCTATTAATTAAATCAGACAAGTAAGTGGAATAAAAATTATTTCATGAAAATTAACTTGGCAGATATTTAATAATTTGTAAAAAATAAATTATTATTAAAATAAAATATTTATTATTATTATTTATTATTTATTATTATTTATTCAAGTAAAAAATAAATTATTGCAAAATAAAAATAAGAAAAAAAATTGATATTTAGAAATTTAAAAAATTAAAAATTGCAATTTTTTAAAAATAATTTTTTTTGTTAAATAAAATTTAAAAATAGTCAAGTAACTGTTAACTTTAATGTCATAATTATTTCTTCTTATTTGAAGAAAACTCACCGCTTCTTAATCTTTTGAGATTGTCATTATAAAACAGCGATTTGTATTCGAGATTAGCTCCATCTACGAGTAATCCATGGGGAAAAATTTCTTCAGACCATTTAGGGAGTGATCGATTCATCGCTGCAAGAGCCATAAATCCATTATACAGCAAAAATAAATCATTTGTTGTTGATATTTCTTTTCCAGTTTCAAGAGTAAGATTTTGCATAAGTGGTCGGAATTTACTGAGTTCCTTCTTTAGTTCTGGTGATTTTTTGAGTTTTTCATATTCTGCTACATACCTTCCGAATTTTAAGTGTTATATTGTTAATTATAAAAAGTTTAAGTTGTAATCTTATTTATTTTCTAGAATATACTTACAAGGGACACAATTCAGGTTTGAGAAGAGTATCATCTTTTTCTTCAACATAAGATGTAAGAATCGGTTGCCAACACAAAGATTCATTCCATACTTGAGAACCTTTTGGAGGAAATAATGCTGAAAGCACAAGTTGCAAGGACATGCGGGTTCTATCAATACTCGTACTTCGAGCGAATACATCTTTAGTGTAATAAATATCACCCAGGAAGTCATTGTAGAGGTCACGCAAAATCTGGCCAAGTTTATACTCGTGCTGCTTGCCGGTCTATGTATAATAATTTTTTATTTTTAGTATTAATAATTCTTTGAATTTTTTAATTTATAAAATACTTACAATTGTCAATTGTCCTCGACCAAGTGGGTGGAAATCATCATGAAGATAAGGGTCCGTCGGATAAATTTCATTTTTTTCTGGAGTTCGATCTCCGTGTCGGAAAAGCTTTTTTTTTAATTAAAAAAATTTTTTATAAATAATAGTAATTTTTTATAAATAATTTTACTAATTAGTTATTTCAGGAATGAATAATTTACTTACCACAGCGACAAATTTTAATTCATTCTCCATTGACACGACATGGGTGATAAAATAAGTAACAAATAAAAATTCTAATAATTTAAAACCCATTTTTGGTAAACTGTAACAAATTCGATTGTTGAAAAACAATTAAACAAAGTTGATATAAATTGTTTATTATTATTATATTCTAAATAAGTAATACCTTCCTGGTTATCGTTATCAAATAGCAGTAGTTTTCCTTCAACTGACGTTAAAATTTATGAAACCTTAAAATTTATCACTAGCCAGTAGCAATAATTTTCTTCAAACTGGTTAAATATTTCAAGTTATTTTATAACTCAAGAAACAATTTGATAGACAAACAAGTATTTATTATTCACTAGACTATTAAAATGACTAATGGCAGATTACACACGTCCTTGGCTTAGAGCGAGTTAATATAATTATACGTTGACCAGCAAACGTACTATCTAAAAAGAAACAATTTAATTTCTAGCGAAGAAGATATTTAATTAAAAGAAAAAAACAAATTAAGTTTTTTTTTTTTAGATTTAATTCAACTGACCTTCTTGACGTTCGAGAGTAGAATGTCACGAGTAACTGAAAAAACTGAGATTATTAGTCCAGAAGATGACACTGATAAGGGCGTGCTTATCAATTTAAACTATCATCTAATCAATAATATTCTCTGGACTTAGATACAGATATCTTTCTCATGCTAACGAATATTTTTTTGTTTTACAAAGTGATTTCTTGAGTATACAAACACAACACTTAAATTTATGTATGGTAGTAACAAATTCAGAGTTTTATTTATTAATAGTCGGTTCGTGATAAAGCAGCCCAAAATAAATTCATTCATAAGAGTCGTAAAATCACAAAATAGGCATAGATTGAGACAATACCTAAACAATGACGAATCTAGAAGAAAAAAATTATCAATAGGTCAAGAGTTTACTTATAAAATAGAACAGCTCAGGGTAAATTTAAATATTTAATGTAGTAAAACTAGATTATAGCTCTTATTTAAATAAGATAAAATATTTTATTAAAGCAAATAGATTCAATATTTTTCATAGAAAATAATTTCAATAAAATATTAAGTCATTAAATTATTAGTAATAAATAAAAAAAAAGCGCCATTCGGCCATACCCGACATGGATAGGTAGATTTCTCGTTTGAATATTAAAAAAAAACACGTTATTAAAAGGCAATAATGTCCTAAAATGTATTTTTTATCATAATTTTGCAAATAACGATATGAGACCGACTACAATAAATAGATATTTAAAGACATCTACCTAAAAAAATAGGATTTGTAACAGATGAAAGTTTTTTGATAATAAAAGCTAAAAATTCATTTATTCTAGATTTTTTTTAATTTTCCCAACTACGAAATAAATGGAAAAATGGATCAAAAGGCGACGAATAATAGCTCAAATTAAAGATAATTATGTAAATTTTAACATAAATTTAATAGATTTAAGCTAGTTTAATAATTATTAATTACTTGCCTCAATATAATTGTCAGTTTCATTACTGAGTAACAAAGACATCGGAACTATAATTCAGTACTTTGAGAGGCTCAAAAAGTCCAGGAAGTTTTACGTTCATTCTCTTTTGGATAAAAATCGTAATCGTAATAATTAATAAAATTATTTGGATCTTCTTCGCAGTCAGGACTTAAAACTCTGGTGCCTAAAGTAAAAAAAAATTCAAGTAAAAATAATTTTTTTTTTTAGAAAAAAAAAGATTAACTACATTCAAGATCAAGATCATAATCATAAAATACTGTTTGGTTAATTATCAAAATCTTAATTGCTGTTAAATAATTACAACCTAGTTGCATTTTTTCTTATCACAATGAGTTTTATAGTACATTATATAGATAGGGAGCGAAAATAAACTACATAATTAAGTGTGTTTTAGCGATAAAGTAAGTTAATTACTATAATGACCAATGTAAAATAAATATATTTAATAATAAAAGTATTTATGCAGTGATAATAATATAATTTTTTTAAATATTTAGCATTGATATTTTTTATCTTTGCAATTATAAATCAATGATAGTAAAATTTCCTTTACGGCCACAATCTATATCAAAATTTTGCATTGTAACGTTTTTCAAAACTCTCTTGAATGTCTCCAATGAACAAACTGAGCTCTCACAACCTGGTACCACAAATTCTGTATGGTTGTTTTCGTTTATATACACCACCTACGATAAATAATTCACATTAGATATTTAAATTATATTAAGCGAAAAATCAATCAGAAAAAAAAAAATAAACCTTGACGTAATATTCATTATTAGATTCATGTAATTCAAAAATTAATGTGCTCGCATACCCCGGGATATGGGGCTTGTAAACTTTAAGAGTGTTTAAAATCGCTCCGACTTGAATTTCATTGCTCGCATAGAAAAATCCTTTCCGCTCAACATTTCTTCCACTGAGCAAATCATCAACGTGGTCTAAAAAGGTTTTTATCCAAATTCCACCCATCAGTCTTTTCATCCTATCAGTGTAAGTTTGAAGAATATATTCAATTGCGCTTATATCCACAAGCTTTCCATCAGGAAATATTTTATCCGTCCACGGCTCCAGTTCAAGACCAAGACTCGCCTGAAGATAAATTAATTATCAGCATAGTTAATCAATTTTTCATTTTAATAAATTAATATAAAAATTTTTTTTACATAGGCGGCTAATTGGTGATAAAGAATCCAGCCTTGTATTGGTCTTGTGTGATTAACGCCAGTATTCAAAGACAAATAGTCGAAGAAATCTTGGACGTCGCCGATGACTTCGAGCAATCGATCTACTTCTTGGGCAGCTTTCTTTCTGTCGATCGAGTAATTTTCGCAAGACATCATAGCAAAATTCATAACGTCTTCTTCCGTAGGTACTGAGTGTACGGGAATAGGGATCCAGGGTAAGTCTGGGTTCCAAATTTGAGAAGATGAAGGCGGAAAAAGACCTGCCGCTACGAGGTGCGCAGTATTTATTGCTCGAGTCATTCCAATCGATTTGAAATATACAGAACTGGGTTTGTATATTGGCCCCAATAAATCTTTATATTTTTCTCGTAATAATTTCCCTAGATTATATGCACGTAGTTTACCTTTCTGTAAGTAATAAGTATTTAGGCTGCATTCGAAAATTCTCTATCTCTAATACATAAATAAGAAATGACTTTGTATTTTGTGAACTATTGACATTTTTAATGATATAAGGTCACCCTGACATTACACTCATTGAGACCTTTCATTTGAGTACCCACATCAATTTTTCGTATATTTTATATATTTATATATATTATATATATGTATATATGAAAAATATATAAAAAATGCATGTGGGTACTCAAATGAAAGCTCTTGATGAGTGTAACATCGGGATGAGCTTATATCTTTAAAATATGTATTATATATATTACATAATTAAGAAACGACCTTGTATACAAGATATATCTTGTGAACTATCGACATTTTTAAAGATATAAGCTCATCCCATACATTTATATATATGTATATATGAAAAATATATCAAAATGCATGTGGGTACTCAAATGAAAGCTCTTGATGAGTGTAACATCGGGATGAGCTTATATCTTTGAAAACGTCAATAGTTAAGAAAGTACAGTGCAATTTAACAAAAGTCATTATTAAATAAAGCAAAATTTTATTTATTTATAGTTCACAAGTCACAGCAGTCACATAGTGACTGCAAGGTTGTTAGTTAATTATTAAAACCAAAAGTCATTTTATTGTTTTCCAATAATTTTAAATTCAAAAAAATATCTTCTGAATTTTTCATTACAAAATAAAAATTACAAGCCAATTAATAGATTAATATTTACATTTGTTAATTCCATAGGTCCATCTGGATACCAATCGCGATCTTTATATGGATCTTTCGGATAAAATAAAAATGCAACAGATCCATCAATCGGATTACGATCAGAATGTCGAATCGTAGCTTGAATTAACTTTATTTCCGCATCACAAAAATAAAAAATACTGATAAGTATAAAGAAGCTTGCTTTGATTAACATTTCACCAATATTTTAAATAATAATTTATATACTACGACAGTAAACTCATTAATTATCAATGATTAACTTCTGATACTACTTATAAAAGATACAGATATCAACTGATTTGCAGGTAGATAAAAAACTAATTGTAAGATAACTGCATCTTAAGTAGGACAGTGATATTCTTACAAATAAGTGCGTGCGTAATAAATCAGAATTATATATTTAGTAATTTATTTGTGGTGATATTAAATTTAATTACATATTCTAATACAAAATTTCCAGTACGTACGCTTCTAATGTAAGTTTTTCAACATATTCAGTTTTGATACACTTCTAGTAATTAAAATACAATTAACTTATATTAAATATAATTATATTGAAATTTACAATTAATATTTCAATTAAGTACTAATAATTATAAATATCTAAGATAAGAATAATTAGATAAAAATGATTCAAAATCAACTTTATACTTCTAACTATTAAAATACAATTATTTGAATCGATTAATTTATATTAAGTATAATTATGTATTATTCTATTGAAATGGAAAATTAATTAAGTACTAACTACAATTTAAACTATATTTGAGATGAGAAAAATTAAAAAAAAAAAAATTATTCACTATCAGCTTTATTGATGACCGCTCGATATGGAGATACGCCTTTGGTACATATCATATCTTCGTCAGAAGGTATAACATTTTTCATTATCCTCATAAAGTCATTGAACGGACAAGGAACAGCGCATCCTGGAATTTGTTTCTCCACAGACTTTGGTGGGATTCCCAAGTAATGTCGTATTCCGACAAAATAATCAGTCTGATTACGAAGTAATTCAATAATTACAGCGCTGCTGTATGGAGGCACGTGAGGTTCGAATACACCAAGAGTATTCAAAAGAGACGCGATGTTCGTTTCATGTCCGCTTAGTAAATGAATCTTCGGTGTATTGTTAGTTTTATTGTTGATTATATTTGTCATAATATCTGTGAAATGTCTAACGAACATTCCTGTAATAAATAATTACATTAAATAGAGGTAGTGATAATAATCGATACTGCCATTCTAATACGTTGTATCCCACAAAATTTGACTTTTTTTGAAAAATAGAATCTCAACAATATTATGCAATTCATATTTAAAATTTAAAGGTCAAATAGTTTAATAACTATTTTTAAATAAATATTTTCATCCGTTGAATTCCATTTAATCAATATTAAAAATTAACTGTTTTTACACGAAAAAAAAAAAAAAAAAAAAACAGGAATAATTACAGCATACCGTCTCGTCGTAATCAAAACTAGAAAAATTACAGTTTGAGATAACATTTTTCTAAATTTAATTTTCAAAGCTTTTAATGTAAATATTACATTAAAAGAATTCTATAAAATTCTGTAATTCTTATAAAATCTGTAATAATTACAATCGGAAACTGTAATTTTTCCAATTTTCATGACGAAGCGTCACTTGCATTATATATATACTGTAATTTTTCGAGTTTTCTTTTTTCCGTCTACTGTCTGCTGTAAAATTTTTTAAATGTGGGATATGACGTATTAGAATGGCAGTATCGTAATGCCAAAACAAGTCGAATCTAGCAAAAAATATTTAAATATTTACCACCGTTTAATCTTCTAAGTTTTTCATTGTAATGAGTTATTTTATAATCTAATGTGATTCCGTCCCACAGCGCACCTTTAGGAAAAATTCCTTCTGTCCATGAAGGTAGTTTTAATCCCATAACATACTCTGCCATCAAATTGTGATACATATCATAAAAGTCAGTTGTTGTATTTATAACTTTACCAGAAAGTAATGTAAGTTTTTGCATAAATGGACGCATTTTATTTACTTGTTTTTTTACTTCTGGTAATTCTTTTACTCGATTTAACTCTTCTAAAAATCTAAAAATAATTTTATTAATTTAAATAAATATAATTATAATTAATAGTAATTTCTTACTTTGGACATTCTTCAGGAATCATAAGAATATCAACATCACCGGGTTGATAAGTAAAAGCAATTGGTTGCCAGTTGAGATTTTTATTCCAAACTTGGTCACCTTTTGGAGGGTACAGAGCACTCATTACCAATTGTAAAGACATTTTAGCTCTATCGTACTCCGTACTTCGAGCCATTATTTTTTTTGGAATATACGTTTCTCCCAAAAAGTCATTGTAACGATTGCGAAGATAAATACCTAGATCGAATTCTCTCTTCTTACCGCGCTAAAATAAATAAATTATTAAAAAACAGCAGTCAAGGTTGGATTTGTTAAGAATTATCAAATTGAGCAATAAATTATCCAAATACTTACATTAGTTAATCCTCCGTGACCTTCCGGGAAAAATTCATAATCTTTGTATGGATCATTCGGGTATTGCTCTCTTCCATTATCAGGTGCGCGGTCTCCATGTCGGAATACCTCGTGAAAAAAAAGTTAAAATGCAATAAATAAATTATAATTCTGTAAGTAACAATTAATTTTATTAACAATTTATTATCAAAAGTAAAATTATATTTAATTATATACTCTAGACATAAAAACCGATTATTGCAAAATCTTTGATTGAACATTGTTTATCTGTAAATTTTTAAGATATATAAAATATAAATAAAGTTAATACTTACTACGGTTAAAAATTCCAGATCATACTCAGCAGATTCAATTTGTATTATTAAATTAATAATGACTAGTAAACACAATTTAAACATCATTGTTGTATATAAATTTCTTCTTTAGTTTTAATACCTGAAAATTAAAATTAATTAATGTTTTTAAATTATTAGTTAATTAATTTAAATTTTTAAAATATTATTCATCACTCAGCAGAAAAAATAAAAAAGCAATTATTTGTCATTTGAAATTTACTATCAATTGTGCAATTTATCATCACTAATAAACACATCAAGTATTGAATTTTTATTTATATTGTCATTAATTATTAATTATTTATTGTTACTTATCACGATACTACGATCTCAGTGTGAGTGTAATTATGCGGAGACAACTTTTAAATTAATTGACGTACGCACTGCACGCGATCGCAAGTATGTACTTCTTAGATGAAGGCAATTGACAATTAAACGGCCGTAACTTGTTATTAATTAACTATAAATTTATTTTATTACAATGTTTATAAAAATTTAAAACTAACCGAAATTATATCACTGTAATTGTAATTTTTAATAAATCACACGGGAAAAACTACCCGCAAAGAAGAAAATACTTTATGATAAAACCGATTGAATTTTATTGAAATCAATTGAATGGGATTGAATGTCAATTCAAGTGAACGAGACATACATTACTCAATAATTGACATCATACGTAAATTACACACTATGAAAAATACTTTCTTACCGCAGTTTGTAAGAAAATTTTCAATTAAACTCAAACTCAAACTGGTCTGCAATTTCTTACTGTTCGTTCACGACAAAGTTTATCGACGCAAGTAACCAATTAATTAATTAATTATTTATTATATATAACTATTATTTTATTATATTCTAAGAAATTACGTAAAACATTTGTTAATTAGAAGAAGAAAAATAAATTTTAAGTGATGAATAACAGTTTTTTAATACTTTAGTTGATTGAGAAATCTATTGAAAGAACCCTCACCAAAATAATTTAGTCTATCGAACGTCACTGCTAAACCCAAACGATTTTACTTGTAATAAAAAAGGAATACTTACTTAAAAGTGAAGATGTTGATTCCTTGATTTTTATAATCTTATCTGATTTACGTTAATTATGTTTAAACTTGAATTTGGATAAACCTATTACTGAATTATTTCATCATCTTCAAGTAATCTTTTAAACTATCATATGATGTTTGGTATCGATGACACTATCAAAATTAAAAAGTTATTAGTAAATTGTGTCCTTGACTTTTAATATTTAATTGTTTTTAAAATGTATTGATGGAATTTCCCAAATTTGAACAAAATACCAGTTAGGTAAATTAATTTTCTTCATTTTTATTTTTTTTTAATCAGCAAAATTTAAACTATTGAATATTTTTCATTGAAATATATCATAATACCAAAATAAAAAATTAATAATTACAATTAATTCTCAAAAATGGTCAATCATTCAAATTTATGAGATTGAATTTTTACATGTTATATTTTTAGTTTAAACAAATGTTAATTTTTTTAATTTTATCATTAGAATACTTACTTAAAACAACATAACACCTTTTAAATAATTCATATATTGCAGTTTAACTCAAACTAGTTATTACTATTTGTCTATTAACTGATAAGTTGATTAATATAATTGTCAAACTATAAAACACCATGTTATTGTAGTGAATAAATAGAAAATATTTGAATATTTAATATCTTAGTATTATTAATAATTTATAAAATATTATAATTTATAATTAGCAAAGATTAAGAAAATTTATCTGACGTAATTAAAAAATTTACCTCTACTGTTACTGACGTTTTCGCACGAAATACTAAAAATAAAAAAATACTTTTATTAAATTTTATTACACACGGATAAAATTAGTTAAATAAACTAATTTATCAATAATACATCTACTTAAGCCTTGTTAATATTTGTTTATTAAATGGATACCTTCATGATTTACAATAAAGATAAATTACTATTTCTACGTGTAAGAAGATAAGAATTTTAATGTTTTCTAAGATCATGCCTGAGCGGTGTGGATTTATACTAGCCATAATGTAATCATTATTTTATTCTTTTGTGTAGTTGAATCAGTTCAAGTGGGAGAGAAACGATCACGAGTCTAGTGGCATTTTTTTTCATATTGAGTCGTCTGAAAAATTTTCCATGTATCACTGCTGAAGGTTCGTATCTGAAGTTTACTTTGGATTTCTGTGAATGAAATTTAAGATTTAATTAACAATAATAATTATAATAATTCTTATTCTATAACAATAATTACTACAACTAATAACAATCTTTAAAAAGTGTTCAGATACTTGATAAATTTTTGGTGTCATGATGCTGCTGCTTGGAACTCTAGTTCTATGTCTCTCCGGGTCTGTACTGTCAGATCAACAATTGAAATTAGTGCACGTGGTATCTATTATTTTTAATTATATACAAGAATATGTTTACTTACAGTTTTTTTTATAATTATTATTATTATTTGAAACCGACAGGTATTTTCACATAAATTGTACGCGCCAATCAAAATCAATGAAGACAATACTTATACGTATCCTGAAAAATTGGACTATAAATATTTTTTGGAGTCTACTGATGACATGGTAAATGTAAGTATCATTGAATTAATTTCATAATTAGCTTTTTGTTTTTTAATTTTAAATTTGATTGTACAGTCAGCGAAAATGGACATATATAATCTAGGAGTATATTTAAGAAAAAATTACAATTCTTTTCTTGGAGAAATTTTTCACCCAGATTTAACGAGAACACGAACAACAGAGTACCCTCTGTCTATGATTTCTGGGCTTTTGGTGAACGTAGGTCTTTGGCCTCCTGCTAAAGCTCAAGTTTGGCAAAGTGGCTTAAATTGGCAACCAGTTCCAACAGGTACTAACCAAAATTATTATAAATACTGTTTATAACTTATTTCAAATATTTAATACTTATTTAAAATTTTTACCTCCAATAAACTGTTAAAATAATGATAAGTAAACTCTAATTTTTCCCAGACTACATATCAGCAGAACGCGATACTTTATTATTAGGAAGTCTATGTCCTAGTTTTTCTGAAGATGAAAAAAAAGCTCAGATTGCTTTAAGGTCTCCTAAACATGAATTGTTATATTCTTCTGCCACCAAATCATATGGATCAGTAATAAAAACTCCTTCAGACGTCGCATTACTTTCTTCTGTTTTACAAACTATTGTAAGTGTAAATTAATCTAATTAATTTATTAATAAATTAAATATATACTCATCTTATCTAGGTTGATTCCAATATGTCTCTCCCTGCATGGACTTTAGATTTATCCACAGATATTTCAGAGTTAACTTTCTTATCCTACGACCAGTTGGCAAATACTGATCGTCAGAAGAAGTTAAACGGTGGGACATTGCTCAAAAAAATAATCAGCGACTCGTTGACACATCAAGAGAGCAACGGCACCAGTAAACTTAAAATTATAATGTACAGTGCCGAAGACCGTAACATCATCGGATTATTGAAGAGTATAAATTTGTGGTCGCCTCATTATTTATCTTCAACGACAGCACTCATTTTTGAGACCTATAGTGATACTTTGACAAACAAATACTCTCTAAAAGTAAGAAACTTAATTATTTAATACAATTTTTTTTTTATAATATGATATAATTAATTAATGCGTCAATTGCATTTCTCTCATTACAGATGATGTTTTATTCATGCAATGAAACAGTTCCTCTTAAATTAAAAAACTGTAATCAATATTGTCCAATTGACAAGTTCTCTTATGAATTAAAGAATGTACTTCCTGAAAACGCGACAGCTTTATGCGAAGAAATATCGAGTGCATCGCCAATGCCAATAATTAATTCAGTTTTTTTATTTATTTTGTTAAGTTTGACAATGATTAATATTTATTAAAACTTCTAAAATTACTAAAATGTTAAAATATAATAAATAATTTTAAAAATCTTATAAATAACAAATAACCAAAGCTACCGATAAAAAAGGTTAAAACTTAATCTATAATTATTACGACAATAAACAAATTAATTTAAGAACCCACTCTGCTTTCAAAGGATTCATTGATTTATAAGTTCCCAATAATTTCTTTAAGCTAATAATCAAAAATTCTTTCAAGTCATCTTCAGGAATAACTCGCGGCTCGTTGAACGTAGGATCAAAGTGAGCAATTAGTTGTCTTCGCCAGAAAGCTGTTATTTTTGTTGATGAATCTTGAAGTTTCGTTTTCACCATTTCGCAGCTTATCATTTCACAGAATTTTTTTATCGTAATCTCTAATCCATAAAGAATTATATACTCATGTCTCTCTATTGATCTTTTTAAACGAATATCAACACATTGAGAAGCGTCTACTAACGAGTCAAATAATTGCGTAATCAGAAAATCTAGTGTTTCTTTGATCGTTTTCAAAGATTTGTTAAGCTCTAGGACCATTGACACATAAAGTTGAGCCTTGAAGTTCTAAAATATAATAAAGATAAGTAAAATAAATATTAAAAATTTATGACATTAACTAACAATTAATTTTTTTACCGTAAGATTATTGTGTACTGAAGCATCAAAGGCTTTTTTGATAGTCGACATAATTATTTTAATAAAAAAATGAGTGATGGTGATATTATTTTTTTCCCTTCTTTCTAAATGATTTACAAAATCTCCAATTGTTTGAAAGGATTCTACAATAAGTGCTTTATTTTTAAAAATATTTTCAAAAACTTTTTCTGAATTGAATTCATTAAGAAAATCACGTACAACAGTCAGAGCGAAATCATCCAGCTGACATTGTTCATGAATCAGCATCAATTGATCTGATGAAATCGTATAATCTTGCTTTGGGCTTTCTAATATCTTTTTACCATCAGGTTGCTTAAAAAAACTAATGTAATCTGTTTGTTGGTGCGAATTCTGAGAATTTGCTTCTTCATTTGAGAACTGACATAGAAGGTAACTACTAATAAAGGTCTCAATGTCAATTCCACTATCAGCAACGCTATTTATCGGACTAAGCATAAATGATTTCGGAATGGAATCTTCACCGAAACTCACTAAAGGGCTACATTGACTCGCCTCTAAATCTTCTTCTGGTAAAACTGATTTTTTAACCTTCTTCACTCGCTTCTTCTTAGACTTTTTATGATTGCTAATCGTCGTGCTGTTTGTTATGTCCTTCAGTTCTTCACAATCATCTTCTTCTTCTTTTTCTAAACTTCGCTTCTTTATCTTTAAAATAATCGGTTCATTTTTTTTCTCTAAATTCGGCTCACCGGTTGTCGAGAATTGTTTGACTAGGCTCCGCACTTCATCAGCTGATACATTAGACTCTCTTTTGATGCATGATTTGAGCCATGTTATCACTTGAAGAAACTTTAATTGCTTTTCCCATTTAAAATTTGGACTGACAACAGCAGGTAGATTCAAATTTTGCGGCTTGTCATAATCAGCATGATAAGTACATGTACAATTTTTAGGCTCTGCTGATTCTTCCTCAACATTCAATTCTTCTCTTGTAAATTCTGTTAGTAAGTCTATTAAAATTGGCGACTTTGTTTCAATCTTTTTAGCTATTTACATAAAAAAATAAATTACAAGTTACATTAGTTATTATAAAAATTATTTTGTTTCTAAAATTAAAAATTAAAATTAATTATGATGATTAAGTTAGCTGACATTTAAAAATTAAAAAGAATTTTTTTATTTAAAAGATGGCTACAAAAAAAAAGAAAAAAAAAATTGTCATTTGTTAAAAACTTGAAAAACTGTAAGTGCAATTTTTTTAAAATATTTTTTTGTTCTAATTTAATTATTAAAAAACAATCCAAAAATTAAAAACGTCGGCTAACTTTAGTATCATAAATTAATTTAACGGATATTTGATAATTTTAAGAATTTTTTCAACAAATAAATTATAGCAAAAAAAAAAATTGACATGTAGAAATTTTAAAAAGTAAAAAATGCATTTTTTTAAAAATAATTTTTTGGAAAAAATCTATTTGTTAAAAAAATTTAAGAAATGGTTAAGTGACTGCTAGCTTTAATGTTATAAATTAAAATACATCTGTCAATTTTTTAAAATTTTTACAATAACTAAATTATTATGAAAAAATTTTATTAAAAAAATTCCACATCTAGAAATTACAAGTGCAAATTTTTCAAGTATATTTTTTTATAATTAATATTTTACAAAAATTAAAAAAATTATCAGATGTTTGCTGATTTCAGTATCATAAATTATTTATGCGAGAAATTAATAACAAAAATTAACTTACCTATTGGCTTATTTGTTTTTATACAGTTATTTGATAAGGTATTCAATAGTTTATCAGAGATAGTATTTAAAAAATTATCATGTAAATTCATGATTAAGATTCATTAAATTCAATAAATAAAATAGCAACACCTTTAATTGTTAATTATTTTTGTCTTCATTAATCAGTAGCTTTTAATAAACTGAACTTCGATTAGATTCAAATTTATAATTTCGATATTCGATTGTAACAATCGAGATATTGAGGTTAGAGATAATCTATAACAAGTATAGTGCACAACTTCAGTTATCTAAAGTCTCGTGGTCCACCGGTGTGATCAAACGTGCACTTTGTACATTTATAAATAATTAAATAAATTAATTAAACTAATAGTTATTAAAAAATATTTTTAAACAATGGAGTCTTTACAGACAGGATCATTATCTAATATTGATAAAGATGAACTTATGCAACAGGTTAAACAAGAAATAGCTGTTGCAAATGCTCAAGAATTACTCACGGTAATATATTGCATAATTAAAAGCATTTAAATTATTTAAATTTAATAATTATTATAATTTACAGAAAATAACAGAAAAATGTTTCAAGAAATGTATCATTAAGCCGGGAAGTTCCTTGGATAGTTCAGAGCAGGTATAAAAAAATTCTCATCTTAGAATTTGTTTTATTGTTAGAATTTTGAGTTTATAATTAAAAGTTTTGTTTATGTCACATAAATGTATATTTAAGATATTAATTTTTCTATTTAAGTTTTTTTTTTTTTTAATTAAAAATATTTAGAATTAAAAATTCTAGAAATTAATTGGAGAATTATTTTTTATTTCAGAAATGTGTTGCAATGTGCATGGATCGTTACATGGATGCATTCAATGTCGTATCTAAAGCCTACAGTAATCGATTGCAGAGAGAGCGCAATAGATTGTAAATAAATAAATAAATAAATTTATTTATGTATTATAACATAAATATTAATTAAAATTATGTTTGGTATTATAAGATGATGTAACTTTTTAGTTCGATTGAATTATTAGAAAAAAAAATTATAATTGTTAAAGCTATGATACTAAATAATTTTTTTTTTACTTCAGTTACATGAATAATAATAATTATAAAAATGTTAAATAGTTGTCTTGTATTTATAAATATTAATAATTACCACAATTATTTGTAAATACATAATTTTATTTGGACTGAATACAATTACTATCATTTTTTTAAGTTTTAATTAATTTTTTTTACAAATTACATAGGAACAACATTATTTTAAGTCTATTTCACACGAATTTTCAATCTAGTGTGGAGCAGATTTATCATTCGAGAGTTTTCATTTCAACTTGGGCGGCCACAAAAATCGTTATAAAATTAAAATAAATTATTTCAAAATTTTTAATAAAACTGAATTTCGGTTTTTTTTTTTTTTTTTTTTTTATAAAATACTTTTGATTATTTAAGAGTGTATAAAATGAAAATAAATTGTATTGAAAACTATTTTAATAAAAATAATTGTTTTCAATCAGTTTTAACTTCATTTTTGATTACTTTTGTTCGATAAAAGTTTACATACCAATATTTATTACAATTATAAATCAATTCCATTATAATATTTTTATATAAATTGGTGAAATTATCAACTATTTATGTTTAGATCTATGTATAACAATATATACAATGCTTCAAGGTATATTATAAAGTATCTCCAGATTTAATAATAAATCGGAAGCTCTTTAATCATATTCCTAATCTATAATTATAATTTTCAGAGTTTTTAAATCACGCAGATAAATGCAGTAAAAATAGAAAACAAAAAATTATTATAATAAACAATTACAACAAATTAAGTAAAGCATGCATAATAAATATTATAAAGTACATAAAAATTATTTAAATAGTTAAGTGTCAATTAAACGGATCAATTATTAATTTTTTTTTTTCTCAAAATAAATAGTGTTCATAAAAATGTGGATCTTTGTTAAAATATATATAACAAATTTATATAAGTAGCCACAATAATATGACAATTCCACAATATTATTTGCATTGGTTTATTATTATTTTTAAGTATGATTTAAATTATCAATTATTATTGATACACGCTAAAAGGCACAATATAGCTACCAATATATTCAACGTGGTTACAAAATTATTATCTTCGTCTGTTATATATATATATATATTTCTGTCAAAATATATAACATTATCAATTACTTTACTTAATTTTAATAATTCTTATTTCTAAACGATTAATATTATAAATAAAAAATATTTCACCGGAAAAAAAAGTCAACAATAATATAAATTAATAGAGCTAATGCTATGAAGAAAACAAAATTACAATTTTTCTTACATACTATTCTTACATAATTAATTATAAATTTAAAAATACAAATAAGTAATTTAAATTGTCAAAAGTTTCCCATAATAAGTATGTTGTATCTCCATAAAAGATTATAAATAATTGATCGCTTTAACATTAATTGTAATCAGAAATATTACTGGAATGTAGTTACTACATAAATTATAACATACGTGGGAATGTACAATGCAGTCCTGAATTTGAATTATTTATTTCATTAATTAATTAATTAATTAATAAACTAATAATAATAGTGTTTAATAAAATGTATGATTGAATATTTATGAACATATTCAGACAACAAAATGTAACCACGTTGATTGGTCAGGAACACACCTGTTTACTTTTATTTGTAATTATTTTGTTTTATATTTTCTCAAATTTACGAAGGGCTAATGTTGGTCAAGCTCAGTTATTTTTTTTTTTTCGTTTTTTAAAATGCAGCCTTATAAATGTATTTTTGTAATTATTTTTGAGATACCTCATCAGTTTTTTTTTTTATAAATTAATTAAATATATACTATAGTTACAGCAGAAAAATGAACATTTGAAAAAATCGATCGATGTCTCTTATAATTAAATACGCAATATATATATTTTCTTGTCTATATAGCATTAAAAATGTATTGAGTCAATTTTAAATTTTAAATTGTACTCAAGTTTCTTCTTTTTTTTTTTTGTTCTAATTAAATACATCAAGATGAAATGATTTATCGTATCATTAAATCGGAATTGCTTTAATAATTCTCACTGTAAAGGATTGCCTAAAAATCACAATAGTATACATTTGTCTACAGTTTTAAAACAATAATTTAACTCTATTTTTTATTATTTTTTGTCATTACTCATTACTCGTATTTATCAGTATTATTCAATATTTAATATTTAAAGTCCTTGCAATCGGCAAGAAAAAATATACAAGTACTTAAATTTACTAAACTCTGATAGATAATTTTAAAAACACTTAGCACCATATTTAATTATCGTCAAGAAAAAATAACTTGATAGATTTTTTTATTTTTCAGGCAATCCACATTACTTAAGACGGATGATTTATCAGTATCTATTAAGATACTTTAGCAGTTAGCTTCAGTCAAATGAGGTAATACACAACAGTCAATATATGCAGAAATATTTTCACGATTAACAAACAAAAATTACAGTGGGCAAAGTGGAACAATTATTTCTTTTTTAACTAAAACTTATTAACGTCAACAAACGTTATTATTTTTACAGTCCATAAATAATCTCTCTGACAAACGTAATATAATTATTATTCAAATAATAATGAGATTAATAATTATATCAATTTTATTAGTAGTAGTAGTAATAGTAATAATAAAAATAATAATAATAATAATAATAATATTAATTACAATTACAATTATAATTATAATAGTAGTAGTAGTAATAGTAATACTAAGCGCAATTGCAGAATAACGCAGGAGGAAATTCATCCAAATAGATAAACAATTTAAAATATCAATATATAATCTGTCATCAAAGTTATTATTTTTATTTTATATCAATAAATTTTCTAGTTGAGTTTATTTAGCCAATCAGGCATTTCTATACATTTACATTGTTGATAATAAATTATCTTTGTACTACAAAATGTAGAAAAATATTATGTTTAGAATATACCATCTCTGTACAAAAAAATTATGGATAAAATTCGATATTTTATAGAGTGTGATAGGGAATAAAGATTTGTATAATATAATGTAATAATAATAATAATAATAATAACATTCAGACTTATTCCTTCTACGTTTTTTTGCAGCGCAACTTACCAATTAAATATTGAGCCACGTCTCTGGCAATGTCCATGCCTTCAGTTAAGGACATTGAACCGCTCAAGTGTCTTTATTTTTCGTAATTAATTACAACTCTGTAGACCTCAGACCATCATTGTAATTAATAAGATCTAAATGACGCCCACAGACTTGTGTTCGGTTTACAAAAAACTCTCATCGTTATTCTAAATAGCAATAAAATACATACTACGCTTTTTCAGTACAGTCCAACGCATTACCCATCGCGAAATTAGCGATACTCTTATTATCTCCGGAGGTATCATCGAGCTGCAATAAAACAATGACGCTTAAACTCGTATAAAAAGGTGTTTAGTATCCGGGTTTTTGCTATTCGTCGACCGGCGACGTATTTTTTCCGAAGATAATAAATTATTTCAAATAACAACAGAATCACTCACACAAGAAATATTAGTACTTAATACCTCTTCTATTTCGTCGATATCTTCGCTGATTTCTTCGCTCCGAGCACTTTGACTCTTGTCGTCGATTACTGTCTGCGGTAGTTGTTTCACAGGACTCTCGATATTTTTATCTGGGTTTTTAGCTGGACTCTGTTCGTTGGTACTGCCTGACGCTGAAGAAACAAAATCTTCTTCATAATTATCCACATCTCCTGCTAGAAAAAATAATCATTTAGTTTATTATCTCAACCGCTAAATTATCAAATAAATAATTAAATTCACATACTCAGTCCAATGTCCATCAATTCCTTCAAATCATTAATATTAGTTTTTTTGCCATTCAAAGGAGGTAAATCGCTAAAAATAGAATTTGTTTTCGGGACGAGGGGTGGCAAATCTCCAAGTAATGATTCATTTTTCTTAGTTGCTCCAACTTTTTCTAATTTACCATCAACAATTATTTCTTCAAAATAAACAGTCTTACTAAATGAATTATTATCCACATCAACTTTACGGAGATTTTGAGCATTATTTGTATTTTGTAACTTGACACTACTAACAGCTGTTGTTGTAACCGCTGCCGTAATTTTCGACTTTGATTCCTCATTTGAATCTAATTCCGACTCTACAATGTTCGATTCATCGAACTTGATTAAATGCTCACTTTTATTCAGTAATTTTTTTGACTCATTGTCATTTTTTTTTCCATATGACGGGCAGTTTGTTGTTGGTGCATTTTGATTATTTTGTGTCGGCAATGAATTATTGTGTGATGATGTTGATAAATTATTATTACCAGTTTCATTATCATCTAACTTATTTTTATCAGTTTCGCAATCATTTTCTGAACTTGTGTTTTCCCTGAGTGACTTATTATGTACTTCACAACTTGAGGTATCAATTAGTGCATTAGTTAATATTTTACCGGACGTTTTTTTATCTGTTATTGTCACATTTATTGGAATTTCTTGACTAAAATCTGAAATACTTTCTGCTTTTTCCGATGAATCATTGTCATTAGATAGTGAGGTTGATTCTTTATGGACTACTTGTGGAATTGATACATCAAAAGTTGCATTATGTATATTGCTTGTTTCACATGATTTTAAATTGCTATCATTAATTGATTCATTCTAAAATTCAATATTATAATTATCATTAGAATCAATATTAACATTAATAATTAATTTTTCTAAAGACTGGTTCTTATAATACTTTATATTTTTAGTTTTATTGGCTGTCCAGTCTAACACAACGATTTTTTTCTCTAATTTTTTGCAATACTGTTAGCCTGTATTTCCCTCTAGACATAAAAAAATTATCCTCAATTCATATCTAAATTTGTCATTAAGGATATTGCAAAAAATTAGAGAAAAAAATTGTTGTATTATACTGGACAGCCAATAAAACTAAAAATATTAAATATTAATAATTAATTTATTAAAAAATAAAAAAAAAAAAATTACCTTTGAGTTATTAAAGGCACCATTAATGCTGTTCTTAAGTAATTCTCCAAGCAATGGTTCTGTTGAATTAATACCCAACTTTTCACACAATTTATCTCTGCCCATATAATTGTACTCCTTTCCAATATAAGTTTCTGGATCGTATACAGATATTGTGTAATCCAAACCAAAGTATTCTAAAAATTCTCTAACTAATGAAAATAATAATTTTCCTTCAGAATTAGCCAGGTACTGTTTTACTGTTTTGTTTAAAAGTGGTTCGGGATTCTAAATAAAATAGAAAAATAAATAAAATCCATCAGTAATCATCAAAGCAACCGACCTACTGAGCCTGGTCGATAATATTAAAGCGTAATATAAAAATAGCAAACTTACAACTACGGATTCTTGCTCTTCAAGTGCTAAAAAGACACTAGCTCGAAGTTCAGCCTAAATAAAATAAATAAAAATGTGTTGAGAAGGTGTGTTAATTAAAGGACAATTATTTTTGCCTCATGTCCTTATTTTATTACGCCGCCAGATCAACAGTTAACCTTAAATCCAAGGCAATAAATAAAATAAATAAAAACTTACCCGGACTTTAGCAAGAACTCCATTATTTTCTAGGGTCTGTACCACTAGGTCTCGTAACTCCGTATCTTCCTCCATTGATATGTTTCCGTCTATCATTGTGACAAATAATAATTAAACCACCAGAAGTACTTGAAAATGTAAATATTTAGGCTGCCTTCGGCTGCCTTCCCATTGCGCGCTATTTAATCATCTGTGTTACGTATATATACTATACAAATATATGTATAGTATATATTTTTAATTGTCCACTTAATATACCTTTTTTTCATAGAGAGACGACTTTATTGGTATTATCATCAGCTGATTTAAATAAAAGAAATTATTTTATCGACTATAAAGAAGGTTAGTGCTCAAAAGTTTTGGATTAATAAATAATTACCGGTTTGTTTATAAGTTTTTGGAGTAAAAAATTAAAAACAATGTCAATGATATCACAAACTGTCTTTTCTACTCTACGAAATATCAAACAAAATTTATTAACTCCAGCTATAGTCACACATAATCATGGTAAAGTTATAAACAAATTATTTGACTTATACTTTCAATAAAATTTATGACGATGTAGTTACCAGTCACTTGATAATTTTATGAAAAATAATTTAGCAGATATTTAATAATTTAAAAAATTTTATTGCAAATAAATTATGGCAAAAAAAAATTAGAAAAAAAAAATTGACATGTAGGAATTTAAAAAAATAAAAAATGCGATTTTTTAAAAATAATTTTTTGGAGCAAATTTTTTTGATAAATAAAATTAAAAAATTGTTAAGTGACTGCTAACTTATTGACATGATAGTTTTTTAATTTTTTTTATCAAATACATAATTTATTTCAAAAAATAATTTTTAAAAAATTACATTTTTAATTTTTTTTAATTTCTACATGTCAATTTTTTTTTTTGACAAAATTTAATAAATATCTGCTAAATAAATTTTCATATAAAATTTGAATGACAATTGATAAAATTTTTAATTATTTTACAGTCGTTGTCAGAAATAAAACGAGAAATACACGTTCAACGACACAAAATCGAGGTGGTAATAAAACAAGACCATATCATAGGGGTTGGAAATGTCAGGATGGTGAAGTTGTTACTGGAGGAACTCTTTTAGCTACTCAATTAATACCCCGGTGGCATCCTGGGCTCAATGTAATTTAATTTCTTTATCTATTTATGAGCTTCAAATAATTATTAATTCTTTATTAATAATTGTTTTTTACTTTCTACAGGTTGGATTTGGTAAAAATGGAACTCTCTTTGCGATCGTACCAGGAAAAGTAGTTGTCACATGTGAAAAGTGTGACCTCAACTGGAACCACACTTGGGTACAAAGACACTACTCTGACAGAAAAGGCGAAGTTATCTACAAAAAACATTTCAATATTATACCAGAGAAGCAGCACGACCGTTTCAAATTGGTTGATGCAATTTAAGTATAAATGTAGTTGGTAAATAAATTGGAATAAATTTTGTTGATTATAAAGGATATAAATATTTTATTTATACATAATTACAGTAAACCTTATAATTAATAATCAAACCATATTTGAATTGTCATATTGAAATGACTGATAAGCAATTTTATTGTCGTCAGAAAAATAAGCGTATACTTGAGTTTTTCTCACATGACAAGCAACTCTGCATTGACCAGTTAGATTAAGAATTGGAATTTCTTCATCTATGTCCATGCATGAAACTATAAATTGTGAATGAAACATTACAGGATCGCCTGAAATTTAAATAGATATTTAATTATCAAAGGTTACTTCAATCGGAGTTATATAGCTATGAGAGATGATGTTATATTACCTGGATAAGCGAGATAATCACCACCAAATTTTTCTCCAAGAGTTAAATAATATCCTTTTTTCCAGAAATCTTTGTACACCTCACATCTTAACTTTTCTTGGGCAGTTTGAGGATAATTCCATTCAACTTCTTTTACATCAGTATCCCAAGGATAAGCTGCAATGATTTTAATCCTTCAATATTTATATTATAATTTTAATATTTCAAAATATTAATTTTATTCTATTTAAGAAAATAAAATGTTCTCAAAAAACCAATTATCTTTAAATTAATAATTCAAAAATTATATTTATTAATTTATTAGAGTCGATTTGGTTTTTTTTTTTTTTTTTTTTTATTAAAATAAAATTGCATAACTGGGTCTTTACCTTAGTAATACTTAATTATTTTATTTCTTCAAAATTTAGAGTCTTTTTAGACTAATATTTTATATTTCTATCGATGTTTTTTTTTTTTATTTTTGGATTATAGTAGAATTTAAGTTAATAACTAAGTTACTTGTTACTTACAATGTATGGTCACAGGGGATGTTATCCCATGATCTAATAAATTAATAAATGAATTAACAAATCAATCTTACTTGTGTGTATTTGAACCAGAGCATCATCTGGATCAAGATTAGGACATTTGCTAAGTTGTTCAGCCACAAGAGCATCTCGATCTATCTCAACTCTTTTTACCGCCTCAGCTGTGGCATCATCCAAAGTCTTCTTCATACTTTTTTTAGAAGTTTTCAATCCTAAACTTTTACGCTTTTTACCTTCAATAATAGAATCAATTTTTCCGAGTATCTAAAAAAAATTATTCACTAATTAAAAACACAACAGAATAAATTTAAGTACAAACAATTAAAGTGAAATAAAAAATGTACAAACTAGCTTCTTTTTTCCATCTTTTAAAGCAGTCTCTTGCTCTTTAAACATTTTCTTCCTAAAATTTTCAAAAACTTTCCTCATATCATCATCGGGCTCTTGCCTTAAACTAGGATATTCAACAAGCCGGGCAATTTTATTTTCCAGCAATAAAGTTACTTCTTCTGGTAGAATCATCAGAGGTAATCCTTGCATTATTTCTTGTCGAGGAAGTGTGTGTGGGCATCCAATTGTCGCTCCAACTATACGGTGTTCTCTTCTCAGTGTCAGCCAATCTAATTAAAATTAAATTCGTAATTATCAATAAACAATGACATTTAATTTAGCTGTCACTTGACAATTTTTTAATTTTCTTTGACAAAAAAATTTGTTCTAAAAAATTATTTTTAAAAAATTGCATTTTTAATTTATTAAAATTTCTACAAGTCCATTTTTTTTAATATTTTTTTTTTTGCCATAATTTATTTATGAGAGAAAATTTAAATAATTGTGAAGTGACAGCTAAATTATGATAATAAATTTAGCAAACATTTAATAATTTTTTTTAACAAATAAATTATGGCAAAAAAAAAAAATATTAAACAAATTGACATGTAAAAATTTTTAAAAATTAAAAATGCAATTTTTTAAAAATAATTTTTTGGAACAAATTTTTTTGTTAAAAAAAATCAAAAAATTCTTTAGTGACTGCTAACTTTAATGTCATCAATAAACAATTAAAGTTTCTTAAGAATAAAAATAAAATAAAAATACCTTCAGCGCTCCAAACAAATACATTCCCATGTGACATAACTAAATCAATCATTTTATATTTATTTAAATTTCTTGTCAAAATTTAAATAATTTATGTTGTTAAAAATTCATTAAAATGTATTAAATCTCTGAATATTTATTTGTTAGTTTAATTAGTAAATACAGTAGTTATTTAATATGGTATCGATCAGTATAGTATAGATGGAACTAATTGCAATTTCCATCACACGGAGTACGGCTTAAAAGGCGCAGTTATCGTGTCCGTTCTCATAGCAGGCCGTAGTTCGCCATTTTTGTCTACAAGGCAAGTCACAGTGTCCAGTTGTGTGTGCAAAATTAGATCCTCGTTTACACGTTTATCCAAATAATTATCTAAAAGTAATAGTAATATTAAATTTTTAGGATAAAATAAGTTTTCACTAAAATAACTAAGAGACTGATAATGAATCAGTCACGTAATTACACATCTTTATTGAATCCAAGTTACTTACAAAATGCTCAAAATGCTTCGAGTGCAAATGCAGCTGCGGCTGCCGCGGCCGCTGCTGCTGCGGCTGTTTCTGCTGCTATTGCCAATGGAACAGCATTGAACAGTTCATTATCCTCCAAAAAGAGAGAATCTGAAGGTATTTAATTATTAATAATTACAATTGTAAAAATTACTCTGATAAAATATTGGAGCTAAAATAAAAATTATTTTTTCAGATGATGTTAAATCGGAGAAAGAATCAAAAGAGGAGCGTCGTAAAAGGAGGAAAACGAGATGGGGTGGTAGTGAACATGATAAAACTTTTATTCCTGGGATGCCTACTGTCCTACCCACAAACTTGACTGCCGAACAGGAACAAGCTTATCTCTGTAAGTTGGCTAATTAATTTAATTACTTAATTCATTATTTACTTTTTTTTCCCCTTTTAATTTTAATTATGATTATTATCAGTTATCTTTTTTTTTTATTTTTTTTTTTTTTTACTGTAATTACTCTAATATAACTTTATACTTATTATTAAGCTTTTAATTAATTTTATATATTTTTTTAATGCATAATTTTCGATTTAATGTTCATAATAGTTATACTTGTGCTTTGAAATGATTATTATTATAACGAAAATATTAATTGAGGTAAGAATGTTTCCATGTATATTAAATTTCACAATTCAATATACATTAAATGATAAACTGACGTTATGTGTGGTATAAAAAAAAAAAATTAATATTTATTAATGCAAATTTATTTCATTTGGCAGAAAAAAATTCGTTATGTTTACTTATTGGTAATAAATTAACTGAGATACCTCACATGCTTCAGATAATAATGGAAACCAATATTTAGGTTTATAAAATGTATAAAGTATATTTAGTATATATCAACATTGTCTAACTATTGGGGTTTCTGCCCCCTCTAACCCATTGGTTTACAGTTCAGCTGCAGATTGAGGAAATCAGCAGGAAACTAAGGACCGGAGATCTGGGGATTCCACTTAATCCTGAGGAAAGGTTTGAATGAAAACTATACATACAACAAAGTGACCATAATCTATCTATACAACCTAGCGCCACTCAGCAGACTACAAATAAACGCTACTAAATAATGACTTTAAAGACGATGGCTAAAATTAAGGATATTAAAAACAATTGATATATCGATGACTCAATTCAATCTATTAAAATACCAAGGCTCAGATTTATTCTTCACAAACACAAGCAAATGATGAATTATGATAATATTGGTTTGCCCTAATCAATTTATATTTTTTATTAATTCCTTTTTTTTTTTTTTTTTTTCTTTTTGAGTGTTTAAACTACACTGCCTATAAGTTGTTAGGCACCGATTACTGAAGACTATTGTTATTATCATTTATAATCGCGTTTATTACATCAATTTACACTTGATCAATTATCTTTTACTTTCTCAAACGGATTGATATTTATTATTTAATTTTCCTTGTAACTCTACTGCCCATTTAAAATTAAAAGTCAGTTTCGATTATCGCTTTTTCTTTTTTAAAATATTACAATATTATGAGTAAATACTGCTAGGTTTTTTATACACTAATAACTAATTAAAAATATTTAACGAGCTAATTACAGGAAAAAAAAATTAAGTTATAAATTTTTACATTCAATTGATTATTACTTTCAGGTACATCTTAATTATTTCATTAATTCTATCCTTTGTTAATTTTTTTTAATCAATTGATTTATTCCAATAGGACATTACTGTAATAATTATTATGATTATTGTAGCAGGACCTGTTGCTCTATTTTAATCATCGTTAGTATTTATTTAAATTAAAATTTACAATCAAACTAATTAATAATGATGATAAATAATAATAATGAAACATATTAGGTATTTTTCTAATAATCACAGGATTTATCTTAGCAGCTGACATCATACCCAAATCCGCCGTATACAATCGTGCAGTCTTCCAGTGGTTTATCTACAATTAAATATAGATAAAAAATAAATGTTCAATCACACTATTATATTCACAGCAAGTGTGACTCCTTATACTTAACTTTAAAACACGGGCAATGTTGGAAATTTTTTTAAACTAAAAGTAATATCAATAATAGTTATAGATGAATAATAATTACCATTACAATACTATTTTTTAATTAATAATTAATCACTTTCCGACATAGTCGGCGTTTATCCGAGTATCGAAGTTACAACTGCACATCATTTTGCTTTGTATAATTTTTTTAATTACTATAATTTAAAAACATTTTTCTTTTTTAACGAGCCTTTCTTATTTTTTCAATTCGATCTGCAATTAGCATATCATTGATTCAGGCTAAATCAATAGAATCAGGTCGCTTGTATAATAGTACCATCTTAGTATCGACATTGTTGCATGACAGTTATATATTTTTTTTTCAGATCACCCTCACCTGAGCCTATTTACAGTAGTGACGGTAAACGGTTGAATACCAGAGAGTATCGTACAAGACGTAAATTGGAAGAAGAACGACATAATCTTATTCAGAAGATATTAAAAATAAATCCTGACTTTAAGCCTCCGCCAGATTACAAGTAAGTAATCTTCATTCAACAAAATCAATTATTGATTTTATTTTTTTGTTAATACTCATGGTGATATTAATTAATTATTGATTTTAGGCCTCCAATAATTCGTGTTCATGATAAAGTTATGATACCACAAGAAGAGCATCCGGATATTAATTTTGTAGGACTGCTTATTGGACCACGTGGAAACACTTTGAAATGTAAATACTTCATTTTTTAAATATTTTTTAGAGCTTAAGGACTTTGAGAACAATTTTTTAATGAGTTAATTTTTCAGCTATGGAAAAAGAAACCGGTGCTAAAATTATTATCCGAGGTAAAGGATCCGTGAAAGAAGGCAAAGTTGGCAGAAAAGATGGACAGCCTCTGCCAGGTGAAGATGAACCTTTGCATGCATATATTACTGCCAATAATTTGGAAGCTGTTAAGAAAGCAGTTGAACGAGTAAGTATATTTTGATGGATTAAACACTTAATAATTTAATCTATATTGATTTATTTTAATAAAAAATTTTTATTACAGATCCATGAAATAATTAGACAGGGTGTTGAAGTACCCGAAGGACAAAATGATTTGAGACGTAATCAATTACGTGAATTAGCATTATTAAATGGAACTTTGCGTGAGAACGATGGTCCACGCTGTACGAATTGCGGAGCTTCCGATCATAAATCATGGCTGGTAAATTATTCACCCTACTATTAATTATTATAAAAATATAACACATCAGTATTAATCATTTTTTTTTTAATTATTTCAGTGCCCTGATAAACCAAATGTTACAAACAACATCGTGTGTTCAAGTTGTGGTGGTGCTGGTCATATTGCACGTGATTGTCGATCGAAGCGTCCAGGTCAAGGTGGACCAGCAGCCGCAGGAATGACCGGAATGGGTCCAGCTGGAGACAAAGCCAAGATCGATGAAGAATATATGTCGCTTATGGCTGAATTAGGTGAAGGTCCACCACCGGATCGGTCTAAATCAACACCACGGACTAATGCGACCGCGAATCCCAATTATCCGGGATTATTCGATCGTCAACAAACACCAAGAGCTCTGATGGCGTCACCAGCGCATCCACCACCGCAAATGATGCAAGGTGGGCCACCACCGATGATGCCACCGCCTGGTATGGCTCCACCACCTTGGACTCCTCAAGGGGATCCTAACGGAATGAACGGAATGAATATGCAATGGCAACAACAGCCAGTCAGCATGCCTCCGCCGCCAGGTGTTATGCAGCCACCACCTCCACCACCAGGATCTGCGCCAACTCAGACAAATATTCCACCGCTGATGCCATGGATGACTGGAAACAATCAGCCTCCTCCACCGGGACAAATGCCGCCAACGCAAATGCCCCCACCGGGTATGGGAATCCCGCCTTGGCAGCAGGCTCAGCAAGCAGCCATGAGACCACCACCTCCAGGCACTGCTCCTCCTCCTGGTTATCCAGGTTGGCAACAGCCTCCCATGGGCAGTTGGCCTCCGGCTGCACCCGTCCCACCACCACCGCAGCCGCAACAAAACCCGGCGCCCCCGGGCATCGATCTTAATTCATTACCAACTCTTTTGGCTCAGCCACCACCACCTCCACCGCCAACTAGTTAGTCGAGGGAATTTTAATAAATTAAATAATTGTAGATTTTCACAATTTTATTATTAAATTAATAAAATTGAATTAAAATTATAGAATTAACTAATTTTTGTGTATTCGTTAAATCGAAATGTGTTTTCAAAAGTTATAAATTTTCAATCATTGGCAAATTGGCAAATTTAATTATTTTCTTTAAATATTATTATAAACGATTAATAATGTACTACACATTTTATTTTATCTATTGCACGCAATTATCTTTTATCGCAATCACTTTAATTTTGTTATAAACTAGAATGCATATTAATTATGTAATTAATATTATTTCTCATTGGCATGTATGACTATATTTTAGTTATATATTTCTACATTAATACGAAACTTTTATTAATCGTCATGTGTACTGTGAAAATTATACACAATAAAATCTCTTGATTCGTTTTCACATGAAACTATATTTATTGTTTACCGTCCATTGATTTAATTATAATTTATGTCCATGCTAAATTAAAAAAGATTTTAATTATTTCATTTAAAAAAAATTATTAATTTATGAAAATTAAGTTAGCCGACATTTAAAAATTTTTAGAATTTTCTTTAGTGAAAAAATTATTAAAAAAAAATTTTTTAAAACTACACGTGCAATTTTTTAAAAATATTTTGTAGTTATAATTTAATAAATGAAAAAAAACAATAAAAAATTAAAAACGTCGATTAACTTTAGTATTATTATTTATTTTGAGTATTTTTAAAATTTACTTAAGTATAATTGTTGAGATATGCGCGCGCCACCTCGATATATATCGAAAATTTCGATTAGAGTATGTATTGTTAAACCCAACCTTCAATTGAAAATTTATGTTTGTCAACCAACACGTGGTCGACTGAGTTGTACTAGCTTGTGAGTAAAAACATAATAATAATTTATAGAAGTAAATATTAATTATAATTTCTTTATTTATTAAACGTTCTGTTATTAAAAATATTGATTTATTAATTTTAATCATATCAAATCAAATATTTAACCTCTGTTATTATTTTCTAGACAATTTTATTTAGGTTATATTTAAGTAAACTTAATAAATTAATTTTATTTTTTAATAATTTTTTTAGTATGATGAAGTCTGAAACCAGTGAAAAATTAACTGAAGAACAAGAAAAAGTTCTGTATGTTCGCTTACCACATACAATAAAAAATGTAGACCAAGTACAAGAGTTATTTGTAGGTGACTTTAAAGTTAAGTTACCCAGAAAGTCAGGAAGGCATTGTCATGTCATTTTTTCAAGTATTGAGGAAAAAATGACGAATTTAAAAGCTATTAAAGATAAATTAATAAATGGTAAACGAATAGTCGCCTATCCTCCAAAAGTGAAGTCTCCTAAAGACATAAAAATTAAACCGGATAAAAAAGTTGTCATTCCCATACCCAAGAAACCTGCTAAAAAATTAACAAGAATGTAAGTATTTTTTTAAACAACTAAATTAGATTAATCAATCGGCATATTTATAATTTTTATTATTAATTACAGTTTATTCGTATGTAATATCAACCCGGTAACAAAATTACATGAGGTTCAAATAGCTTTCGAAGGAGTTAAGACAATTACATTTATCAAAGGTCCAATTAAAAATACCAAGTAAGTTTATTTTTTTAATATTTTATTTATGTATTTACATTTTTTTACTAACTGGTTTTATTTAATTTTTTTTTTTTTTATAATTTATTTAGACAAGCAATTATAAAATTAGAAGACGCTAAAGTAGCTGCTGAGTACTTAACAAAAGAAAGACCGGCACCTATTTTACATGGTCATAAATTAGTGATAAAAGCTGACACAAGAAAACAAAACAAAAAGAAAAAATCTCCTGGCCTGAAAGTGTGGGACGGTGAAGTTGATATCACAGATAAGGTAGCGTTCAAGGACACTAAAGTTAAAAACACCAAAAAAAGGAATAAAAATAATAAAAAAGACACCGTGCCGGTGCTTTCTGTCACAAGTGAAGAAATAGACGCAGAGTCTGGACTCAAGGTGTGGGATGGTGAAGAGGATATCACTGAAGTAGTTGAATTTCAAGATGAAGTGCCTGTTAAAAAGACCCGTAAGATTAAACAATCTTAATTGAGGAGGAATAATTAGAAAATTATGTAAGAATTCGAATTATTTATAATAAAATTTTTTTAATTGTAAGTAAACTTATTGGTAAATATTTTAATTGAATCAAGCTGATGTTGGATGAACTTGAGCTTTAGGTTTATTTCTGCGTGTTAGTTTCCATATTAAGTAACCAAGGTAGTAGACAAATTCGAATATCGAAACGAAACTGCACCCAAGAAATAAGCTAAAGACACCGCCGAGAGAAGCTATTTAAAATTTTAATTAATTATAATCTTAAAAATGACCATTAAAATTTATAAAACTAATTTACTTACATACTAAGTTAATCCATGATAGTACTAATTCTTTAGTTAGTAGCATAAAGGTCAAATTTGCATACCCAATATGTATAGCAGTCGGATCTTTATACTTTAAAGATGTTTGGCTGGTAATTATTATTTATAATTTATTAATATATTATTAATAATTTATTATTCATAAAAAGCTTATTAAGTATTTTTACTTTAATTTATATTGCAATTATTGAAGTTGATACTTACTAAAATTCCGCGGGATTATACTGAGCAGCAATGAAGTCTAATGACGATGTTGAAACCTTGAATGTAGTATCTTCACAATCAGGTTTGCATCCACATTGTTTATCTCGAAAGTTTAAATCTTCATACTTTGATTTGTGCTCTGCTAAACAGGGAACATGAGTCAAATTGCAGATCGTGTCATTGGAATAAATAATAGACGCGTAGAATGGTACGCAGTCACAGTATTTGCGAATTATTTTTTCACGACACTTTACGTAACAATTATCTGCGTGGTGCAAAAAATCAGGCTTTGACATGCAACAGTCTCTTTCTTCAACTGGAAGGTCTTGGACTTCTTGGCTGACAATGAGTTGAGTCCCCTTAAGAGCTGCTATTACTTCCTCCTTAAATCCTGCAACAAACTCTTGGGCTGATGGACCAGGATACGTATTCCGTTCATGGATAATTATATTAGAACCTTCTCCGAACATAGTGAAGCTTAATCGGTCTTCTTTAGGATAAGATTTTACTAGTATGGATAAAGTAAAGTCCATACCAAAATCAGGACTCCTAAATTCTGGCAAATTTTTGTATCTGCGTAGTAACAAATATGATAATTAATCATTGTAATTAATGATAAATTTAGTCGGTAGTAAAGTTTTAAATTGTTTTGTTGCGTAAGATGAATATTATGAATAATTAAGACTAATAAATTACCATAAATCTTAACTTTGTGGGGACAAAAGTGTATTTATAATTGATTCCATCATCAGTGCAAAGTGTGGCTAAAATTTTTTGCAGACTAGGTCAAGGAATACTGTGTAAGCATCTGAGTAGTAAAGATTAAGAGATTGTACGGGTACCTTTCTTCCCCGTCATACCGAGCGTAGTTGTATGAACAACAAAGACCGTAAGGTGTTAAAGTTGATGTCAGCAACTCTTCACAAGGTGTTATTTCCATTTCAAATCTACATAAAACAATAAAATCTTCACACGGTAAGCTTACTATTTTGAATAATTTAAGAAGCGAAAAATTATTCGCGTTTAAAAATTCCTGAAGCCTTTGTGTTTGATTAGGATATCTGTTCGTTGGTATCAAGGCTTCCCGAAGAAAAACAAGGTCTTTTATTAAATTCTCAGGAGTGTAATCCTTGGGCCAGCGTCTGAAATTTATTAGTTATTATCAGTTATCATTTAGATTAGGAAATTCGTGGTATATCTACGTGGTAAAATTCATTTATTTTTAATTTTTGAATACCACGAATTTCCTGGATCATAAATTATCATTATCACTTCTTGATTAAAATAATTTACAGTAGTTAAAGCCTCTTCAACGCGATGCAAAGAAGCAATTGTTGAGTGACAATAAGTGATTGCAGGAAATGAAAAATACCATGAAGGGTATTGATTACTTATAACAAGTGTTCTCATATTTGCGGCTTTGTGTTTTATGTAAAATGTTTCAACTAATTGGGTAACTGATATCACTGATAGAATAATTACTATTACCCAAAAAATCCTAGACAACAAAAAAAATATATGGTAATTATTTACAACAAGTGGGGTCCACCTTACTTTTGGCCATATCTAGGTAAAAAATTAACATTTTTTTTATTCTGCTTGTTTTTACGGTGCATTTATGATAAAAAATGTCGTAAAAGAAAAAAATTAAGATTTCGATAGCATTTTTGCCTTCAAAAGTCGGAAAAAATTTTGGCTCTGATGTTTTTGGATAAAATTTCTATTTTATCTTTTTGATATATATTTTTTTGAAAAGTATATAAAAAACGAACAATTAAAAAAAGTTGAATATCATCACAATTTTTTTTTAAATTTGTTAAAATTGTTGTAATCAACTTTTTTTTTAAATTTTTCATTTTTTTTATCTATTTCTCAAAAAAAAAATATGACAATGAAATTTAATAGAGATTTCGTTCAAAAAAATGAAAATTAAAATGGT